TGGAGTACCTCCAAGGTTGCTGAGACATTCCGGCCGACGACTGAGACTGTCGATACTGTCCGGACGTGGCTTGTTGACAGCGGCATCGAGGAGAATCGCATCAAGCTGACGAAGAGCGGTGGATGGATCACGGCCGACCTGACTGTCGAGGAAGCAGAGGGCTTACTTGGCACGGAGTATTACGTCTACCAATATGGCGAGGACACAAGCCGTGTGCATATCGCGTGCCACGAGAGCTACCGTCTCCCAGAGCACGTCTCAAAGCACGTCGAGCTTGTGACGCCTACACTTCACTTCGACGTGAAACCGAAGGCTGGAGAGCCTACTTGGGAGAGGGTAGAGAAGCGTGACGCGTCTGCAACCAATGCCAGTGCTAGTGCTGTCGGCCAACCTGGCTTTGGAGCTAGTTTCCCTAAGACTTCGGGTACAATAGAGGTGGGCGAAGTCGGTCAGGGTATTTTTACTTACACGCTGATGATCGTCCTATTTAGACAATATCTTCCCAGCTCGCAGACTGCGACGAGCAGATTGTTCCCGAGTGTCTCCGCACTCTGTACAGCTTCAACTATGTGCCAGTAGCATCTGACAGGAATACAATCGCGATTGGTAGGTGTCTACTATCTCAGTGTGCAGATGACATCTCATTCGCTCTTAGTTGAATATACCCCTCAGGCATATGTCGCAACAGATCTCGATATGTTCTTCGAGGAGTTCTCACCGTCGCAGGTCGGTCAGAGGCCATACATGGATAGCATTGATGGAGGTGTGTTCGTCAACAAAGAAGTCTGAACTAAGTTTTTCATGCACGCCCTCAGGCTACATCCAGACTGAGTACACCGGGTTTGACTACAACGGAGAATCGAATTTGGATCTGCAGTATGCAATGACACTGGTTACTGGCTCCCAGCATGTCACGCTGTATCAGGCGGGAGATATGGTAGAAGGTGCATACCACGACTTGCTACAGTGAGGTGCTGCTACATGATTTTCTCATAGGTGCATCTTTCAACAACCTGCTCGACGCTCTGGATGCATCTTACTGCACATTTGAGGGTGGAGATGACCCGTACTACGATGCCGTTTATCCAGATCCCTATGGTGGTGGTTATGAAGGTGCGTACTCGGGAATTTGATATAGACCCCAGGTGATCTAATGATGTCGCTTGTATGTATCGTAGGTCCAGAAGATTGCGGTACAGTAGTGCCGGCATACGTCATGTCAACTTCATACTCGTACAACGAAGCAGACCTAACTCCAGCGTATGAGGAACGCCAGTGTGCGGAATATGCCAAGGTTTGTTTCTAACGCTGCATCTCGAGCATAGGCTTGACCATAATTGCTGTTAGCTTGGTCTATTGGGCATGTCTATCTTCTACTCGTCTGGAGATTATGGTGTTGCAGGAAACGACGACCTCTGCCTCGAGGCCAATGGTACACAAGCGGTAGGAGCTGCTTACTTCAATCCCACTTTCCCCGGTACGTGCCCATATGTGACCAGTGTGGGCGCCACACAAGTCAACCCTAACTCTACGGTATGTATGAACCGGAGATGAGAACAACATATCACTTATTAACTGAACTTATGTCAAGGTTTACGAACCGGAGAGTGCATGCGAGCAAGTGATCTACTCCGGTGGAGGATTTTCAAACGTGTTCCCGATCCCATCATATCAGAGAACGGCAGTGGAGACGTACTTGAGAGACTACCCGCCTGCGTATCCTCCTAACATCTATAACTCTTCGGGTACATCTCGTGCATATCCTGATATCGCTGCGAATGGGTAAGTTGCTCCTTATAACTCGTGTTTTAAGGTATGAGGAACCTGGTGGCTGATGGATTATCTTTCAGCGCGAACTATGTGGTGGCGGTCCAGGGAGAGTTCTACCTCGTTTACGGCACTTCCTGCTCTTCCCCAGTTTCTGCTTCGATCTTCTCCGCGATCAACGACGCCCGCCTCGCTGCTGGAAAGGGGCCTGTTGGCTTCATAAATCCCACGGTGCATATTGATTGTCTGCCATACGAATAAACGTCACTGATTTAAATTCACATAGATCTATACACCGGAATTTATGGAAGCATTCAATGACATCACTACTGGATCTAACCCCGGATGCGGTACGGAAGGCTTCTACGCTGAGCCTGGCTGGGATCCCGTCACTGGTGTAGGCACGCCTAACTTCTCAAAGCTTGTTGGATTGTTCTTGGCTCTCCCATGAGCACACGAAGATGAAGCTACTTTGTTAAGGATTTGGGGAATGTGTGACAAATGATTGTGCCGTAACAGTAAGGTCATCAATACAATGCCGTTTTCAAACATGGTGCAAATTAGTCTGGTTTTTTTGGCCATGTATACCAAAATATAAGGATTGCATCGCGCTATATCTCACTGAACGATGGAAGACCCGCGCGCGCTTCAATTTGAGCATGATCCTCTTTTCAATTGGGAGACCAACTATGGTAAGCGCCCGGTGTCGACGTGTATATATCTTAGCACATCGACAAGTGTATCAACGTGACCACTCCTTCATAACTGTCCGCCTTGACTTTTCTCAGCCGCAACTGAATGGTGATGGACTACGATTACACTGAGCTGAACTTGAACTGAATTATGCCCACACTTCAATCATAAAATTACCGTTATCAATTCTTGAAGACAGGTTCCTCTGTATCTCGTAGCTTGCAGCATCTTACGGCTTTAACTAGTTTCACTTAGCGATCTACACAAGATCGTACGCGTGTGGTCAGCCCTGATATGGCATGAGTAATCATTACGCTCAGGCTGAATGTACTAATACTATGTCTAAACCTCGCTTACCACCAAAAAAGGAGGTAATGAGACGACAAACTAGCGTATGCATAGCCTTGGTCTCGTCGGCGCGTCTGGGGACGGAATATAACCGACATGAGTACAAGTTCATGTAACTTGAAGCTTCTGTGTGGACAGTAGGTTTGTAGTAGGTTCATTCAATTTTGCAGGGAGAGACAATTCAACTCTTTTCTGAGGTATTCATGCAACGTAAAGATTTCAAAAAAAAAAAACAACCAACGCGCCGCTATAGAACAAAATCTCTGAACGTAACTACCAGACGCCATTTCTCCTCGGTTGACCGACTCCAGTCCCGTCTTCGTTTCTTTTGATTTTTGTATGCCGCTACCCAGTCACCCCCTTTCTGCAAAGCCTCGTCGACGATGATAGAAGCAGCGTCGTCGTCTTCGCTCTCATCATCGCTGTATTCTCTCGTGGACGTCTTTAACCCCGATTTCGCTCGTACCATGTCGGGCGGCAGTGCCTCTGGTCCCGAATAGCTGATCTTACCCTGCGCAAGGACGATATGTACCATGCGACGATGAAAGAAATGCTGGGTGAATCAGTGGTCAGGCCGCGCTATGTTCATGATATTCAAGGTCAATTAGATCGACCCACCCGATTCCAGTGTTCCAAAACTTCCCCTACAGGCCCTCTCTTCCTGCTCTTCATATGGAGGCTAACTCCCTTTGACACCAACATACCTATCATATTGTCAGTATGTGGGGGTGGTTTGATTCGTGGGGACCCGCGCACCAGCAAGAGGGAGAGGAATGCATCGTGCCATTGGAGCCACGGCAGATACAATCTTGCTCACAGGTGCTAATGCACCCCCGGCTTTCACATCCTGTAAGAAGCGTAGCCAATCTTCCTCACTAATATCGTGCGTCGCAAATGGATGTGGAGAAGCCATCGAAGCCGGCGGGATAGGCGGAAACCCTTTCTGTAGTTCGTTGCACAATGCATAGAGCACGATCGGCTCGAACGACGGGTAGGGAAGTGACGTCGGTGGAGAACGCTGAAAACATGGTGGTGAGGACTTGAAAATGCTGGCAACGCTCTCCGAATGTGCAAAGCGTGTTCCGACGCTCTCAGCCGAATGAATGCTGGAAGTCCCGGCATCTGATATAGGCGAGTATAACGATATGGTCGAGCTTGACGGCCTTGACTGTGTGGATGTGTCGACGCTAAGGATCGTGGATGGGGTATGAACAGAGGCAGGTCCATAAGCAGGTGGTGGCGCGTCGATCATGTCTTCTGACGTTCTTGTAAAATAGTCGCTCATGGTGCACTGTAACTGTTGAGGTGTGCACTGGCAGGGCTAGAGTATTGTCGATGGTATGTCTCGAGAATATAACGAAACCGTAGCGGTCTTGACGAGACGGAAGAGGATTATGACTCGAGTCGAATTTTCTCGCGAGTTTTAACCTGATACTGAACTGCATCGGGCTCTCCTCCACCGTCTTGTGTTTGATCAGGCCGTCAGCGCTCATGGGCGCGTGATGGAGGTGACTAACAACATTGATAAGAGTGCGCTCAGCCTTGAGCTCCCTGGACCCTGGACCACGCGCGGCGAACTGGCAAACGCACCAATCATGATCAGCAGCGCAACTGATGCCCGCGTTAGAGCGGCGCGCTGTTGAGCCGGGCCCTCATGCAACATACGCGAAAATAGCTCGCACCATTCACGCTTATTGAAGTACTAGCAGTATTCTGTTGCTGAGCCAGGCTGTGTTGACAGATTTATGTCATCATAACTGATCCTGCGCTCTCTCGATAGGAAGAAAGCGTATGCATTCGAATGATCTACTGTATCCTCAGTTCGAGAGACAAACTTCTCGCGACATAAAAAGTAATGGCCAGGATGTCATTTGAAAGGATATGCGAATGCACAAAGCACGGAAGCGACTACATATTGAAAGCTCCAGCCACATTAGTTCTCTTCCTGCTGGCTCTTCCCAGACTTCTTGTGTCGTCGCCGTTTCTTTTTCGAAGGTTCGTCTGCTTCCCCCAGTTCAAATCTATCTGCATCATTTCCACGGAGCTGCTTCGCCTTTTGTTCATCTTCATCTTCTATATCTCCGTCAGGGTTCTTGTGGTTCTCGGTCGTGATTACACTAGCAATGCGCTCTCTCATTCGCTCTTTCTTCCCCTTGCGTTTCTTTCCCTTCTCGCCCTTAGCGTCCGCCCCGCCGCCCGTTGAATCGATACCGCGCTCCCTCAACTTTCCTCTGAGCTCTTGTAGTCGATCATTGCGCGTATTGTCCCATTGTTTACCCTTCCCGTCCTTCCTATATGGTGCGTATTTTTTGATGCCAACGTAAGAATTCAGCTCTGCATCCGTCGCGAGCAGGATCTCCGTAGGTGTAAGGCCATAAGTCTGAGGAGCAACCGGAGCATACTTAAAACGCGTGGGCATATCACCAACCTGCAGCCCCATGTCAAGGCCTTTCCAGCGAAGAAACATAAATGCTTTACCATGTCGTTGAATTCCATGCCGTAGAGCTCATCCATATACTCGTCTAATTTTCGCTTTCGCATTTCCTCCGTCCCATCCCAGTCTTCGTCTTCTAAGGCTTTCTGGACGTTGGCGTCCATCTCATCCACATCTACACCTGCTTCCATCTCATCTGCGTTGTTGCTCTTCCTCTTTTTCTTTTTCGACTTTCTGGAGCTCCCCGCGCCATCGTACTCATCTAATGGAAATATGTCCGTAATGTCAATATCATCATCCCAGTGTGGTTTTTCCTCATCTACCACTTCCATATCAACTTCCTGTTCGTATAGCTCAGCCATTTGACGATCATGGGCGCCAGGATCCCAGTCGCCCTCTAGATCAAGATCTTGCAGCGCTAGCGCGGGCGTAAGAATGCCATTTGATACATCGAAATATTAGACGAACCTTTGCTTTCGTGGAAGTTTGTCCCACCTTCCTTTCCAATCTTCTCAAGCTTCGCTCGCAGATCCTTCATCTTCAAGGCTTTCAATCGCTTCACCTCCTCCCTTTTCCTCAACAGCTCCTCTTCTTTTCTCGCCTTCCGCTTTTCTCGCGCTTCTTTACGTGAGGAATCTTCTCGCCGTACTAACGAGGGTAAATTTCGCGGGTGCCGCGCGATCGTAGAGGCTCCTCTACAAGTCATGCACAGGGACGGTGAAAAACAGGAAGTCAGATAGAATGCGCAAGGTAACGCACGGCTCTTCAAAGCGGAAGTTATACGAGCTTTCAAATCGATCCGCCACCTCGTCGAATTCATCTTCGTCAATTTCCTCACTTTGGCTCTCGCCAGCGACAATCTCTTTCGCCTCTTCGTCGGAGATTATGCCCTGCGAGTCAGACTGTTTACGGCCGGCTTTGCTCTTCCCCTTTTCCAAAGAAGCAGTAATTTCTTGATAAGTGGGCAGCCGACGAGCTGAGCGATCAATCCACCCACGGTTAAGGATGTAGCTGATCACATAATATATCAGAATAGCCATAGGCGAATTAAGACACACGTACTTCACCAGAAATTCCTGGTCCGCTTCTTCTTTGCTCTCTTTTGCCTGTGCTGCTTTCTTTTGAAGTTTCTTATCACGTTTTAGATCAGACTCTTTATGCTCTGCCTCTTGTACAGGTTGCACATCGAGCGTCACGATTTCTTTCAATTCCTCTCCAACTTCCCGTTCCAAAAATGCACGGTACTCCTCCTCTTCACGCTCTAATTCGTCCTTCGTCCTCTCTCGCGGAACGAGCAGTGTGTCATCGTCGTCTTCAGCTATGGCGGTGTGGAATGCAGCGATTGTCTCTCGCCGCAAGGCGGCTTGCTCCTCCACGTGTGTAAGAGGTTCAGGTGACGGCGAGCGGGATTCTGGGTTGAGTGCGGATGCCAACGCGTGTTGACGCATGGTGATTGGTTTCGACTGCGATAGGTTAACGAACTTGCAAAAGCGAAGGAATTATAAAATGAGCGTACAAACCTTATCCTTGAGTACGCGACGTGATGGTGCAGTATCCCCAGTTCTCTGTTGCTCTTCTATCTCCCCAGATATTATCAGACTAGATTCACCTCGCTCACCTCACAGCTGTAATCACTCACCCTCAAATACATTCTTTCCTTGCTGATAAATGGACGGATCCTTCCGCTTGATCCTCGCCAAAGTTCGCAGGATGGCAGCGTCCACGGCGGGGGTCAGCTCCTCTCCGTCTTCATCCTCAGATTCATCTTCTTCCGAATCTTCCTCGGAGACCTGGTCTTCCTCTACGTCTGATCCATATTTTTCCTTGACTACGAAGTCACGTCAGAGAACAAACGTGAACATGGCTTGTCACTTACGTTTGGCAAGTTCCTCCCGCTCCTTCCGATATTCGTATGCCTTCGCGTAGTGCTCGTTTATTGTGAGGTTGACGACATCCTCAGCTTCCGAATCATCCGAAAACATGATGTGAAGAGCAATGCCTACGCTAGTATTCGTAGTAGCTCGAGATTGAGCACTCTTGTACGTGAAATTGAATGCTCTAGGAAATTCTGGACAGTGGAAGTGCCCGCACGTGATCTATCGGTTTCGCCATCAGATCTGGTTCCAAGTGCGTGGAATGGACGTCCAACCTTCTGTCCAACAACCATCGACTTACTTGAGCAAGACGCAGGATGGTTTGTATATCATGCCACTCTCATTGCTCCGCCAGTACACTAACTAATCTGTTCCATCCTTCGATGCTTTTACGCGTTCCTCGTAATGTTCGCTCTACGTGAAGGCGTCACTCCACTTTTGCTCAGAGTGCAACAATCTCTTGTATCCGAAAGCTGATCAACAACGCCGCATAATGGTCTACGCGTGTAGGATATGCAGCTACGACGAGATTGGGGAGAACAAGTGTGTTTACAGAAATGATTTGTTGACAGTAACAAAGTGAGTGTGGTCTCCCCGTACAACCATTGTCCTCGTCGCAGTGGATCAAGTCTACGTCTCTCGAACTGGATGGGAGTGCTGCTCCATTGCAACGAGCGCCTTCCCTCGGAAGACGGTAGCTACGGATGTCATTTACACTACTCTTTCATAGAGAGCAAGTCGGTGTCACAACTGACCTCATGAACGACCCTACACTAGTAAGTTTTCATCCTCATGCGCTATATGCCAAAATTCACATGGTTCAGGCTCACTCGAATATGCCCTGTCCTCAATGTGGACACGATGAGTGCGTATATGATTAGCCGGCGTCGTCTTGTGGTCCTAGTGAGACGGTACTAACGCGTGAGTCCCATGTAGCGCCGTGTACTTCCAGGATCAGTCGAAGCGAAAGGAAACACGCATGATTCTGTTCTACGTGTGTACGAGGTGCAATCATAGTTATACAGATCCAACTGTGACTCGACAAGACTTCGATTAACATTAAAGGGACCATAGGTTGTGGGGCTTATGGTCCTGATGCGGAACCCGATACAGTAGATTTATTCATCCGCCTTCGTTGTATGCTAGTGGTGTATTTCTTTCCTCTTCAATACTATTTCCTCTTCAATACTATTTGGGCTCGTTACCGCTGATGCAAAGCAGTGGAGGCATAGAAATATGCATACTCGCAACAGTCTCAGTGTCATGCATCAGACAGAGTCATTGCAATGTTCTTGAATTTGGATTGAAAGGGATAGAGCTGCCCTTTGAAGACTGATTACACTCAGATACTGTATACATTGGACTTTCTAGATTAAAAAAATGTGTGTACAATGCACCCACCATTATAAGTGGATATGGTCTCGATATCAATACAGGCGCGGTACTAGCCAGTACCCGCGGAGCGGTAGCTCACAAATGATCATACAGTGTTGAATAAGTCAGTCATTTTGCAGACAGCATAAGATGAAACCAGATCATGCAAATCGAACGAACGAAAGCGAACAAAACAACCAGCATGCGAATAGTCGAGGAAGGAGTAGGTCCGTGGGCCTTCATCATACGCACTTGCTATATCACATAAACATCTTCCTTCTCCAAGCTGTATTCCTCATCCAGCTTTCGAAAATATTCCATGCGCGCCTGACGCGCTCGTGCACGCTCCTGTTCTCCACAGCGAAAATTAGCACGCATGTGAACAAGCTGAAGAAAACATTCTGTTTTCGTACCTCATCTTTATCAGAATCGAGTTCCTCGTCATCTCGAGCCCGTTTCTTCCCCTTTTCCGACACCTTGCCAGCGGTGGACTTCGCCCGAGAGCTTACAGGACGACTGCTATGAGCCATCGTTGAGGATGCTCCTCTTCCTCTTCCTCTTCCTCTTCCTCTTCCTCTTCCCCTACCACGGCTTGTACTGCGTCCCCTGCTTGCACCACGGAGTTTCGACACCTCGTCACTCACATTCCTGATTTCGGACTCAACCTCACTAGGGTCCTCGCTCTCACCGTCGCTCCGGCCAAGAGTTGCCCGAGCTTTCCCCGCGCCTCGTTCCCTCCCCCTCCCCCTTCCACGCACACGTCCGCGGACAGTTGTTACCGCTTCTCGAGTAACACGCTTGGCTGGCCTCTTTGGCAGCAACTTTTCCAAGTTTCTCGCCATAATCATGGGGTCATCCTCTTCGTCACTATCCGCCTGGACACGCTTTCGCTTCTGCGCTCGCGTCTTCCTGGAAGACAAATTCTCCTGTTGCCTCTCCACAATTTTAGCGCGTTTCGACAAGGGTTTAGAAGACACCGCACTCGTAGGCTGCTTTTCCGCTAGTGCTCCGCTGGGCGACGGTAATGATGGTAATGAACGGCGTCTGAGGCCGACGCTCCGACTCCTCGACCGCCTGCGGAGTACCTCTGTGACGGGTGAACCAATGCCCATACTTGAGCTTGAGCACGAGAAGTTGGCGGAAGGTAGTGGACTGCGCTTCCGCGCGCTGCGCGGCTTGCGTGGTGTACCCAAAGGGTCTTGGTTCTCTGAAGGCGACGACGGGATGTTCGCAACGGCAGCAATGGATAGCAAGGAAGCTCTGCGTGTCACAGGGGGGGCATTTTCCTTGTTGTCGTCAATATCCACTCCTGGCTCCGCCGTGTCTTCCACCTCCACGTCCTCTTCAATTAGCATACGGGCGTTAAGAGTGGATGGGCCTGCTCTATTCAGCGGTTTGTTTATATCCACGTACATATCGCTGATATCATGTTCGTCTTCTGGCGTAGGCAGCTGCGCCGGAGTACCTGCATTAGACGGCGCGGGGGACGATTCTGGTAGGCTGATTGATAGTGTACCCAAAGGGGCGCGCAGAGTCCTTAAAGGCTCCTTGCCCTTACCCTTCTCACCGCGAGATGCAGTCTGTCCTCGAAGAATTTTTAACTTCCTCTCGGCAGCGAAGAAGCCAAATGGGTCGTCCGACGACGGCCTCTCATTGTTCTGAATGTAGAACGCACCAGTGTGCCTATGGACGTGCACATTTTCCTTGTTCCCCTCTTCCTCGTCCAGATCGATGTCCTCTTCATCCTCCGACAGTACATTCTCGATATCATGAGAATCTTGCAACTGACCATATCGATAAGAAGGTGAAGTTACGGCGGGTGGAGACGATGGTGGAAGGGACGATAAGTCCCGCTTGGGTGCAATGGGGGTTGAGATCAGGGGTAACCCGGAGGGCAAAGCACCAGGCTCACTACTCTCTTTAGCACGACTAGGTAGCTCGTGCAAAGGTAGGCGCGGCCTACGACGCAGAGAAGCAAGTGGCGTCGACTGCGGCAGCATGACAGACCTACGCCGTGCGATCGACTTCACAGGTGTCGGACTAGCTAGAATTTCGTCGTCATTGGCTGGATGGAGGAGATACCGCACATGGCTAGGGTGCGGAGAAGGCGGTACAACACTTGGTGTACGATTCTCCCTGCGAACGTGAGGGATCGAGTCTGAAGGTAACTTAAGCGTGCTGAGCGGCCTGCGAAACTTTGCTGGCGACGGGCTCGGAGAAGCATCACGACCAACGGCTAGTCTTTCGGTGTGGAGAATATCGCGGACATGGACAGGCTTGGGAGATGGTGGGATTGACAACGGCGCACCGCTCTTCTCATCCACAGATAGCTTGAGAGCTCCTAGAGGCTTCTCGGTAACTTGGGCAAAAAGTTCTTTCTTCCTTGCTGTGTCTTGCCTGGTTGATTGAGGAGTATTTCCTGGGGTTTTATCCCGCAGGACGGGTCTTCTTCGAGTCCTCATACCAGTCTTATCAGCTTCCAGCTAGCTGTTGCTTCAGATACACGCCTCAAATCCGTCCATGAGTAGTACACGCACCAGAGTGACTCAAAAACAAAACCAGAGAACAAATCCCAACATACAGAGTGGCTGGAGGATGAGATAGTGCAGTGAAGTAAGAGGCTAAGTGGCGCGTTCATGAATCATATGCATTTGCATTCAACTCAACAATGGAGCGTTTATGGAGTCACGGTCACGTGATTATGCGTACTTTATATTTAGGTTATAATATATGTATGCTACGTGGTAATCTTGTCTACAGAGAATTTACTGAATTACTATTTCAATATACCTGAGACGACTTATGTCTGTCAGTATTAATTGCATAGCTGGTCATTAAGTAAGCAGCTGAGCCACTGAGAAACACGTTGAGATTGATTACGCCGGGATTACTTAGATCGAGAAGAAGCATTACGGCAGTGGTCTCAGAGCCGAATAATATACGAACAGCGTGTCTTGTGTCCCATAAGTGAAGCTGTACCACATGTATGTTGCCTGGTTCTGATGCCACAGACCCATGGTCTCAAACTGAGGCTGCCAGTTAATGGTCCGATCGGCCCATGCGCACTCGCCTTGATTTTCTCACTCCGGGAAAAATGTTCCCGGCGACAAACATAACTTGATCTTCCCTCGAGCTTGTAGCTGTTCCCCCATGACTCGAATGCTGCTCTCAGCTACAAGGCGATGTCGAGGAGGATATTCGCCATCGATCAATATACTTCGGCGATGGATGAGCGTGCAGCCGGAGGAGTCTCATACGACTACAGGTGCAGTACATCTATTTCTCGAATTGAAGCTGTAGATTGACGGGTGTCGCTGAAGCGCGCCGAAAGGTGACCATACAGGATCTACAAGAGTGTCGTAGGAACGGCGTACCTATCACTATGATTACGGCGTACGACTACCCTACCGGTCGCGCTTGTGAGGCGCATGGAATAGATGTCACTCTCGTTGGCGACTCCCTCGCGCAGGTCTGTCTCGGATATGACTCTACAACTCGCTTAACTCTCGACGAGATGCTCCACCATTGCCGCGCAGTCGCCCGCGGGAGTAAGGCTCCTCTCCTCATCGCGGACATGCCATTTGGAACCTACCAAGCGAATGTGGAGGACGCAGTACACAATGCAGTCCGACTAATGCAGGAGGGCGGCGTTGAGGGTTTGAAGATTGAGGGTGGGATGGAGGCCGTAGACGTCGTCAAGAAGTTGACAAGCATAGGGATTCCGGTGATGCCGCACATTGGACTGCTGCCACAGCGCCATACAATCCTTTCCGGATACAAGGTACAAGGACGAGATGCGAGAAGTGCCTGGAACTTGGTCGAGAGTGCCTTGGCTTTCGAAGCTGCGGGTGCATTCGCGATCGTATTAGAGGCTGTCCCAGAAGTTGTGGGATCCGCGATCACAAACCGACTCGCTCGCATCCCGACTATTGGCATTGGTGCAGGACCTGGGACGAATGGACAGGTGCTCGTGTGGGACGACGTGATGGGTACGTGGGGTGGCCACAAAGCTAAATTTGTCAGACGCTTCGGAAATGTCAAGAGCGAAGTTGAGAAAGCCGTCAAGGATTATGCGCAGGCCGTGAGGGAGAAAAGCTTTCCAACAGCGGATGAAAGCTATGCGATGCCTACAGCTGAATTGGAGCTTTTCATGAAGATGCTGGAGGCTGGTGGGCGGTGAATATTTGAATGTTAACAACACGAACAGGGATACGACGACTCGTACGGGTTCTCCTACCATTATTGTATATCTATTTTTGGTGGACTCAGCGATAATCCCATAAAGTCAGTATCGTGTCTCAATGTCTTGATGGGATCTCACTTCATTGTAGTACAGCTCATCGACACAGTATTGCGCTCTCGCTTGTGCATTTACCATACATTAAGACTCGCTCTAGCATCTGCTTTCAACATGAATCCTTACGGCGCTTGTTCGAATGCGCGCAAAATCAGTCCAGGAGACATCCGGGTAATCGTTGATATTCCTGGGGAGGGATTAGCTTGACCGCCATTGTCAGGACGTTGGTCGTATTTACACGAGCACATGCGATATATTTCAATCAGCCCGTCCATCTCAGATATGGTCGATAGGACGATCGACCTGTTCATTTTGAGGACACTACTGGCCTATGATTGTGCAGCTAAGTACTCCCGTCATCCGACGCTTCGAGGTGTGAGGGAGATTATTTTCTGACAGCACCATACATTGGTCAGCAAAGAACAGAGTGACGGTCCATGAAATTCTATGCTTCTCGACCCGCACGGTCAGTCAGTTCATAACCATACTTTGTTACAACACGCATGACTGACTTCAATCTCTCGGGATACAGCCGGGCGCCGATTAATTGGTACAAGAAGTTGTTCGTACACGCCGTACCATGCCACTCCGTGGCTACTCAAACGATCACGCTCACGAGAGCAGTTCAAACTTCGAGATTAAGCTGCGCGTTGATAATGTGAGTATAGACGGATGTGCTTTTGACGGCGGCGGACTTACTTCATCAGACAACGAGAGCCTGTGTATCTCTTCTACGCACTCTTCACATTTTCTAAGAACATCAGATACTGACGGTTTGATCATGTTGTAGGAGCATGAATTGATGAGGGATGTCAATTGCATCCAAGTGTCTTGGGACCCAGTCACGGCGGTCCCCGGCACGTTAGTCAAGGACGCCGTCGTTGCCCGTGGCAACATTGCGCCAGCCCAGTGTGCCCATGCCACATGGATTTGACGCTCTAAGCGAGAACTTGGTAGAACTGCTTGCTCGCTCCAGAACACGTCATAATTGCTCTCAGGAGGTTCATAGATGTTGTAAAACGCGACTTGAGTAGCGGCACTTATTATCGAGCGCCATCTCTTGCGATATTGAAGAAATCGCCTGTACACTCCCGCGTCGACGGTCTCCATCTGCGGAATATATTCGTCCAATGGGAGTATTGCAGCAAACTTTGCAGCAACCCGCGCATCCTCGTCCCAGCCGTTCTGCATGGCGAAGAAGTAAGATTGCAAAGGGTAGATCTGAATATCATGCCTCCATCTGCTCCTTACGATTTCGAGCGCTCTTCCCAACTCGTATTTGACAGCTGCTTTGAGTACGGCTATCAACAGTCCGCGCTCTTCGAAATGTGGGAAGGAAATGGGATAAATGAATGAGAAAAGGGGTACTAGTACTCGACCGCTCTCAGGAAGTAGTATGATGCGGTGACCACCTTCGCATTGGTCGCTGCTCTGCACCATGTTTGCTAGTTTTTCGGAGGCGAGAGTCAGAATTGCTTGGTTAACATACAAGTCCACTTGATCTGATGCAGAACGAATGATGACATTGGAGTCCACAGATGGCTTGTCGAAGGGAGATGGTATGGTCACGGACTCTGCTGCTGGAAAAGACCCTGTGTGTGCAGGAGAATTTACTGAAGAACCGGTGTTAGGAATGCAGAATGTAAAAGAGTCGGGGATCATCTGTTCGCCCTTGAACATGGAATAGAATTGAAGAGCTCGATAATATGCTCCGGCAGAAATCTCGTCCATCTCGGGAACGTAACTTTCCAAATTGAGGTCAGACGAATCGCACCATTCAAGGACTGCACTCTTCGCCTCCTGCTCGAGATAGGTGCCACATGCAATGGTGTAAAGACGTAGGGGATCCACGTACACTGTGAGTACTCCTCTGAGCCGTGCCGTAACAATATCCATCTGGTATTTGATTGCGGCCTTCAAAACACGACCAACAGCCATAATGTCCTCCAGAACAGGATCTTGAGTGGGATAGATCAATCTTAGCAGATGGTCTAAGGTCTCGCTCTCCTCCGTGACCTCGACAACTGGTAGATCTTTGTTTGATGTCAATGATTGAGGAAGTGAGAACATGTCCTCCATAAAATCAGATGCCAGACCAAGAATTACTTGATGGACGTGAAAGTCAACGTTGTCGGATGACCGTAGTATGACATCTGCGTTTGCCTTGTTGAATGGGTATGATGCGATAGAGATTTTGTGCTCCATCTCCTAGAAGTTATTGACACGGGTGCAGGAGAGACGCAGGCAAAGCGCGGACGGGAGTAGCTGTGTTGGGACGGCGGCGCCAGAATCCTAGTTTGCAAACATGAGGCAGCAGCTTCTATTTGCCATCCGGAACGAACATAGAAATGGGAGACAGGAGGATATGCCCTTATCTTGGATAGTTGGCTCAGTAAGAGGAAAGCGTACCTACAGAAGAGTACAATGGCCTTACCACGCATGAAGATATATTGACCCATTGATCTGCGTACATACCTAGGCGCCCGTCTAGTTTGGGCTGTTATATCAAGTATATCAGGACTTCGTCCCGAACCTTGTACCAATTGCTGACCCTGGCAGTTATCCTGCTCAGTCCCTGGCTCGCAGGCAAAGCCACTCTGTACCACCTGCATACTACCATTTCATTCAAGTGTTTTCCACCTCTTGCTCCGCCGTGGCTTTGATGTTGCCCTCGGGTGCTCCAAAATAATACTCAGTGGTTCGGCTTTAATCTTGCCCTAGGGCAGATCCAGGACGTTCAAACGTTCAAACTTCGAGCTCTGCCTGTAGTACCATTTTGACTCAGCTCAAGTAACCAGTTCCTATGTCCACCTCTCGTGCAGAATCACAGGCCCCGTCATTTGGACGGCGGCGATCGAACACTGCGCAATCCATTTTCAAAAGCGCGTCGCTGCCAACAACCCCTCTAAAGGTGGGGGATTCAAAGACGCTCACTACTTGGGTACACGATATCAAAGAATCGCCACATGTTATTATAAACCATTCCTGGTGGCCTGGTGTAGCCGAGGGCGACATTATCCGCATTGGTAATTCCAGTGTCGAAAGCTCGTCCGGGTTCTTGTTCAGCGTGCAGAAGGATGACGGGTTTGTCAAACATCAGCTTCAGGTATGTCTATGTATTAATCAACGCAAACGCATCAGTAACGCAATTTTTTTGCTCTAATACAAAGGTATCTGTACCCAGACCTCTGGCGGATCAGTTTGGTCTGCGAAATAACGGCGAAGTTGTGCTCACGAAAGTGAGTACATTGAATGTCCCATTATTCATACCATTGACCTCATTTTGAATTAGATTGAAGCTAGTAAATATTCTGCTGACTATGTGGAATTGACATTTGTAGACCAGTACCTAGGGCGGAATGAGATGTGGAGACTATCATCGCATCTTGTCGGCCAGTGCATTCACGTGGAACAGGATATCTCTTTCATTGGGGTCATTGCCGCGAAAGTGCAAGGAATTGTTATTGGCGGCAGAAAGGTAGACGTTCTGCTGCAACACTGCGGGGATCTTGGGTAACCTACCAATACAGGTCCCCGCAGCATATGTCACATCCACTACCAGAACGGTTTACCGCTCGCTATCCGCTAAGGTCACCATATTTATCCAAGTCTGCCGTGAACTTTGGGAGTTTGCAGGCGATGGTGAGCGCTACAATGAAAAGATCGTGCACTCTTTCCTGCCTGCACTGTTTTCGAAGTGGCGTGAGGCTGGTACCAATCATATTGTCACCATCGTACTGATTTCCCGAGTTTACTACGATGAATCTGAAATCGCGGCCGCCGCCGGGCCTCTCAGGAAAGACATTGATGGCCACTGGTACAAGGACTTCTTCAAGGTTATCACGGATATAGAGGTTCTCTACGACTGGAAACCCACTTTGGTAGATTTGAAGAATTCTTTTTGGGCGTTCCAACGTGATATCTTGCTTGCGCACCATTTCCACCGAGCCACTCTCATCTCGTCGTCACAGCCTGGGCCGGATCACGTCCGTCTGATTGGGCAGCTTTCGTATGCGCATGATGGTCCTTTGCTCGAAGCGCTCAACCTCGGTCTCAATCCCACAGAGACGCACTATATCGACCGTTCTTTGTCTCTCACCGGCTCCTCGACAATCATCATCACCCCAGGCACAGGGTTTTATCGCGTTTCCAAGCAGCTTTTGCGTCTTACAACCACTCGTCTATTAGACCAAGGGTTCGGACTTGAGCTTGTTTCATTAGCTAAACCCCCATTGCACCAGAGTCCTATCTTCTCATTCCAGAGCGTCTCTCCAGAGAACGCAGGTGACTTCGGAGGAAAGATAGGCGCCAGAGCCTTAGACCCTCTATGGGGTGGAGACGACGGCTTGACTGGTAATCGCGAACAACTGGAGACATTCTGGTGGGAACCGTTCTGGCTAGCTGTAACATTTTGGGATAAACAGGTGGACTTGCCATTTAGAAAGGACAGGTGCGCTTATTCTGCGCACTTCCGTCGTTGGCTAGGTGTATAATATCTTTCAGATTTGTGGCACGTGCGAGGATTCCCGAGATTGAGATGCTCGGCCTATTGGACCATGATGTTCTCTCTAATATCGAAATTCCTTTCCTTTCCTCAGACCATGAGAAGGGTTCTGCACATGGAATTACCTCTGCGAAGGAAGCTGACGATTTCGATATGGAGATCTTTACTGTACGGTCAGAAGGTTATACCGACTTGACGCAGCGAATGTCAACGTTGTCGTCTGCAAGCACGGTAACATCAAGTCTGTCCTCAAGACTCAATGACGACCTACGGCGCTCATCGTCTGGAAGGATTTCTGCTATATCAACTACTACCTCTATCATCGAGGAAAATTTGCCGAACGTCAGCTCGGAGTTAAATCAGGGCGATTTATCGTTTGATACCGAAAGGAGGTTACTTTCTGCAGCGTTCAACACGTTGAGCACTTCGCCGTCTCAGCTCTCAATTCGGTCGAACAAGTCCGCGCGCTCCCAAACGAGTACTGCTTCCGCAGTCTCATCAGCCAGTACTCGATCTCATACCGAGAGACAAGCTGCCCGTGACATCCCACCGAAGAAATCACGATTCAATCCGTCATGGTTATTTGGGTCCTTCAGAAGCAGTCTCAGCCAACCTCAGACGTCTCCGATTTCTGTGTCAACGCTCAGCACAGCTCGTCAAGCGGAGAAAGAAAGGGGCGATAGAGAGACGTCGTTGCTCCCCATGTCCCACACAAGTTCTCATGTGTCAACAGCTGTTTCGACTCCCCGTCCACGCTCTCCTCTTATAGAAGTGGCGCGAACTTTGACAACCTCGCGCCCTTCGCGCCCTCGTCTCGGGGAGGAGGAATTATTGCCGCCATCACATAGTTCACTTCCTCGACAGTCTCCTATTGGCACACTTAGACTTGAAGACCCTTTAGCAGGGATGCGGAGGACAATGAACAAGTCAGGTTCCTTGCTTGCTCCCGTCGCTCCGTATGCGTTTACTACCCGGACAAATCCGAGCAAGCCTCTCCCGCATGTCTCCTACACCCAGTCATCACTGGCTTCGAGGTGGCAACATATGTTCCCTCGTCCCCTATCGAAGCATGACACAAACTGGAAAGCCATGATCACCCCGGGTTGTCTTCCCCTCACAGTGGAGTACATTCCATCGGCGTCAGAGCTGGGAACGGAATATTCCATTTATCCGTACGAGTTTGCTGTTGATCCACAGGAGATGCGGTCCTTTTTCTTGAAACCCCCCGCAGTAAGCGGTTCCGCCGAGGATGTACGACGTGCGTGGGCGAGAGTTCTCATACGAGGAATGGTTGCTTTGCGGATTGCACAGGGCTTCCAACTCGTACTACGGTCATCGAAGGCAGGCCCAGGTGAAGAGGGCCCTAGTGCACTCAGACGCAGTAGGTCATATGTGTTGGAAGATGATATCACTACTCCCAGACCTATTAGTGCAAATTTAAACGAGATTTTGAGAAACCCTGAAGAACCCATATTCCTCAGTATGAGCAACGAGATTCATCGCATTGCATACAGCGGTGATGCTGTGCAAGTCCGTCGTTACGTTCGCAAGATGCCACAAGCAAAGGCCTTTGAATACCAGTGCCTCATCTGGCCGAAACTTGGAGTGGGTTATACTGAGCTATCGACATCGTTCATCTCGCCCGGTATCGAAAATTATCACTGGAACAGGTGAGGTGAACTGTGTCTTATATCGCGTCTGTTCACTGAAAAGTCGAAATTAGGCTGGATATGCTGATTGCAGGTTTCGAAAACCAGTGGAATGAGTCCATTCGCTATTGGCGAACTCGCTTCGTTGTGATACCAACGGATGACCACCCACTCACAAACGTTGGTCCTAAAGGTGAGAAGCTAAGTGATGAAGAGGTGCGCTTGATGGGCATCGACAAACTGGCAGAGCTATTCACGAAGGCACGATGGTGCCCACCCGAGGATCGAGGAAAGCCTATAGCTCCTGTGAGATTCTTGACCACGGACTTGGGCCCAGCGGCATGTATTTTCGACGAATCACTAACAGCACAGCTTGACGAAATACACGCCACCGGTCCTCTGCGAAAGAAAGTCAAGAGTGACCGAGACATTGTCGACCTGTCGCTGAGTGCTATTGCTAAGGCTATGAGGGAAGAAGACGGCTTACCTATCAAAGACCACAAGTGGCACGGGATCAAATACGCGAACTCCTTCACTGGTGCTGATTTCGTTTCCTGGGTTGTACGCGAATTCCGAGACGTGTCATCAAGAGAACAGGGGATTGAATGGGGCGTCCGGCTTCAGGAGCAAGGGCTATTTGACCACTGTCGAGGGACTCACAGCTTTTTGGACGGGTAAGATGGTTCATGATGCACTTCACATTCATGCTAAAGCAAGGGATAGGCATTATTTCTATGCACTCAGAGGGGAATACGTTGTGGCTGCGACCCCGCGGGTGAATTGGTTCCGTTCCGCCCGCCATGTATCAGGCGAAGAAGCTAGCACAAGGTCGGGCTTCTATCCTTCATCTAGCGCTGAGAAGTCAGCGCTCTCTGCAAAAAAGCCTATTCGACGACTCATCTTAAGTCAAAGCATGATTCTGGATATCGACCCTCAGAAGGTATGAATGATCCTTCAAATTCTACTACCTATGATCTAACAATTACTTTTTAGCGGAGCGACCAAGCCGAATCGATCATTCTTCACTATGATATCATACACAACCCTGCGACATGTTTCCACTTTGAGCTACAGTGGCTCGGTACCACAGCCCGATGCATCGATGATTTACTCCGTCAATGGAGCCGCACCATCGAACGCTACGGCCTCAAACTAGTCGAGGCGTACGTTACTCAGATCTGCGATATCCGGGACCGCAACCCATTTCAGTCCTGCTTCCCTCTCCCCCTGGCTGTACCACCTCCAATTGTCCCCGACTTAAACAAGCGAGTGCCAGAGGGTATGCAGACGCGACATTATTTTGAGTATGCGATATTGCGGAAATTCGGCTTTGTCTTGGATATCGAAGCTGCATCGTTCTATCCCGATCAGACAGACGTTGTATATTCCTATCGTCGTTCGTCTTACAAGTATTCACAATGGGTTCACCGATCAGGCGTAGCGTTCGTCCAGGTCCTAGGAGGCTCACAAGGATTCTTGTTCTTGACAAATCGCCTTATGGCACCCGGCAGAATTGGCACAGCCTTAAAGTATCAAAGACCAGCAGCGGCAGCGGATGAAATTCGCAGCAAACTACAGTCGCTCTGCTCTGATCCAGTTGCGCTGACCCACCTTTACGATGAGGAGTTGGGGCAATTGGACCACGATCTCGAAGAGCCTCCTCCGCTGCGTATCTGAGCCGCCATCCCATAGCTTATTTAAAATCTGTGCCTTTGTATTTTCTCACTCATTCTTTGTGTCACAGTAGCATCCAAGCAGGACCATTTTTGCGAACTTTTGAGAAACCAGCAGCCAGCATCGGGAACACTATGTGGATAGTGGGCACCACTATGCTTGATTTTTAAATACTATCCAGCTGCACAACTACGACCCTTTGAACCTGTGCCATAATTTCTTCCACAACCCTTCTTGTTTTGGGACGTCTGCCTGCGGAAGGTTCCGTACAAAGTTCCGCGCATCCGCTTCCGCGAGGACTCCACGTCCACGCAAGATCCAGCTGTCTACCCCCCTCAATATCTGCTTTTCCAGAATACGCACGACTGGGCTGTCTCTCTTCCACACCCCATTAGTCCATATCGCAAGAGGACCCGAGGAATTTCTAGTGGTAGCGTGGAGTACATAACTCTGTTTTTCAGTTATGGTAACACTTTGCTCCCCAGATAACTGTCGGGGCTTCGCTTGAATTCTCTTCTTGCATGCCATGCGATTGGCGAGGACCACATCCGTCAGGAGGCGATCTCCAACAATAATGAGCTCCTCATCGCGAACGGGACTTGGTAATGAAGCAAAGTAGGCACGTATCGATGCGATGCAGGAATATGATGGCTTGAAGGACGTATGTCGGAGTACGGGCACTGCAAGGCGATGCGACACCGCCTCAGCCTGGGAGATACGTTGAAAGTTGGCAAAATAGGAGTGTGCACAAATCGATACCTGAATTTCTCCTGCGTCTAGATGTGACCCAGCGGAATTGCTGACGACTAAGACGTATCCTGACCCGAATGTTTGACAACATTCTTTCCATGCATCCTGTAAAATCGTAATGAAACATATCAGTCTTGCGGATTTCTGCCAATATTTCATAACATTTGCCAAACTCCACTAAACGAGGAAAAGATTGAGAGCAAATGGATTGCGTCACTAATCTCTTCAACCACCATGAGAGAACGCGCCCCAGAGACGGTAACACATCAAATTAAATATGGACAATATTACATACCGTTAACTCTGGCACCAGCGCATCTTCGTGTGGTAGCGTCTACGACGAGAATCAATGTGATAAAGCTTGAAAGTCAACCCAAGATACAACATACCAAACAATTGTCCTTGTCGAATACAGCACCGCGATAGCCAGCACGACGGAGCTCCCGAAAGTCAAGCTGGCGAATATCTTGTCATATGCCAACGCCGTCTGAGCTGCTCCATCCACCAATCAAATAGTTTTGTGACTCCCTGACCTTTCACCACTAGATGGGGAACAACTAGGCGTGGGTTCAGGAGAAGGTGAAATGGTACGAGTATTCCCGGGAGATTCAGTGGCATGCTTTATTCAAACCCGAAACATGTGGCAGACTGCAGAGTATCAACACCAAAGCTGGGGCTCTAATAAAGAGTACCGACAAACGAGGTACTTTTTATGCACCTTACAATGTTCAGTAGGAACCCCACAAGTAAGTTACCAGGAGACAACCCCAGGGTCAGATATTGCAAGTAAGAACAGTTTGCGTCAAATGAACAAAGCGAGTAAACGTCACGTGTCACGTGGCCGATTGGCCGGAAATAGCGTAGGCCTAAGGCTACGCAATGCGAATGGCGTCCACCCTTCGCACTTTACTTCCGCGACTGAGACGTCTGCAGCCCTCGACGGGAGTGTTGATCGCTGTGTGGCAGCTACTGCGCGATGTATGCAGGTCTCAGGTCGTCTATGCTAATTACGAAGCCGACGACGGTTAGGTTACTACTACTATGCCGAAGCAGTGTGACTTCGCGTAGGTATCTCTTCACGCAGACATCGGCGCGTTCTCCAAGTCCCTCGAAGCCAACGGCACCACAAATAGACTCCTCTCAACCAAGACCTTCGCTAATCTCTCGCTTTCTCCCCCCTACGCTTGCGGAAACTCGACAAAATTCTTCGTCTTTCCGTAAAATTGTCGCCCTCGCGAAGCCGGAGCGGAAACCACTTGGAATTTCCATGGGTCTCCTCCTGGTTTCGTCATCTATCTCCATGAGTGTACCCTTCACTATTGGCAAGCTCATCGACTTCTTTACATCATCACAGCCGGTGCGGGTTGTTTGCTTTCATCTCATAATAAAATTATAGTCTGACTATATTGGAAGTAGCAAATACCCCTGGGTCTTAGTCTTGGACAAGCATCTGTTTTGATGCTCCTGATGTTTACGACTGGTGCTGTAGCTAATGCAGGACGCGCTATGCTTATGCGGATATCAGGTACTGTTCTCTTCTGTTCTGAGGGATATGTTTTGACATGCAACCATATGTGAAGGACAACGAATTGTTGCGCGTCTTCGAGAACGTATGTACTCGGCTTCCCTGCAGCAAGAGGTTGAATATGTCGAGCGCGGTGAGGGGGATGTGATTAGTCGTCTTAGTGTGGACTCGAGTATCGTGGGTGAAAGGTAAGGATCTGCTTTAACGCTAGTCCATACTTCTGTTTTCTCTATTCTTCTGGCAGCTGCTGAACTCATAATCTAGCTTAACGCAGAACCTCTCGGATGGTTTACGTTCGGTCATTATGTCTTCGGTTGGCTGTGGGTCCGACTCTCCGAGTGCGGTCAATTGTACGCTGATTGGTATTAGTGGGCGCGATGTTTTACATCTCACCTCAGCTGACGCTCCTCATGTTGAGTATTGTTCCACCAGTCTCGCTTGGTGTTGTAAGTGTATCTATGTTTTTGGGTGTATCAGTCTGAAAAGGTGATACTGCTAGGTCTTCTATGGCAGATATTTGAAGAAACTCTCTAATCAGACTCAGGAAGCCCTTGGTGAAATGACCAAGGTGTGTGCGATGTAGCTGTTTTCTCAACCCATACCTATAATGTCACTCTGTCATGAAAATAGGTCGCTCAGGAGTCACTTTCTGCGTTGCGCACGGTCCAAGCCTTCAATGCAGTCCCGCATGAACATGAGAAATTTCATCAACGGGTTAGCACTGTTCTCTCCCTCGCCCGCAAAGAAGCAATTGCCAGTGGTATTTTCTTCGGAAGCACCGGATGGAGCGGAAATATGACGATTCTCGGCTTGCTTGGGTATGGTAAGTAGCGTTCTGGGACAAAATGCTGCATCAGCCTTACGTATGCGTTTAGGTGGAACACTCGTTAGCCAAGGAGTTATCTCAGTTGGCGAGCTGACAAGCCTACTCTTATACACGGTATATGTTGGGAGCGGCCTGCAGATGCTAACGTGACGCACACTCTTTCTGCACCATCATTCCCATGTACTGATTCAAGATTTTGTCAGGTCATTCTTTGTGCGTGCATCTGCCTAAATATGGTCAACTAGAGAGATCTTAATTTGCCAAGCTTAGACATCCATCATGCGAGGCGTCGGTGCCGGAGTGCGTATATTCGAGCTGTTAGATCGCTCACCAGCCATTCGGCCCGATACGGGTCTGGACATCACCCCGTCGCGCATTGGGCCTGTGCGTTTCGAGGATGTCTGTTTCGAGTATCCCAGCCGACCCGGCGTAAAAGTGTTGAAACATCTGAATTTAGAAGTTAATGTGGGAGAAAGTGTTGCAATAGTGTGCGCATCTTGTAACATCTCGTGTTTCTTAGTACTCACATCCAACAGAGGGATGAGCGGCAGTGGCAAGTCCTCCATAAATGCCCTGCTCATGAGATACTATGATCCGGTCCATGGGAAGGTGACCTTTGACGGACAAGGTTGGATAGAAAGACGACTCGTGTCTCAAAGCGCCCTGATCTAATTTGGATAGACATTCGTGAATTCAAGCCCACCTCATGGCGAGGTATTATCGGGGTTGTTCCTCAGGTCAGCATCGACCTTGCGGTTCTCTGTGCTAGTATGAATGATGGGTGGCGTGTTTAGGATCCTGTATTGTTCACGGGAACAATTGCCTCGAATATTGCCTATGGAAACGAGCATGTCACTAGGGAGCAGATCGAGGCAGCGGCACGAGAAGCTAATTGTGAATTTGTGTGGGGCATGCCACAGGGGTTCGACACGCCCAGTGAGTACGGCACTGCAACGTAATTGCGAAGTTTGATCATCGATCTGTTTCGATAGTTGGTCGTCTGAGCCTCAGCGGTGGACAAAGACAGCGCCTTGCGATCGCTAGGGCACTGCTCAAGAAGCCAGCAATCCTCGCACTTGATGAAGCCACTAGCTCCTTGGATGCAACATCAGAACATCGAGTTTGCTAAATCTTTCTTCACATTGTGAACATGGAATCCTCATGGCCACATAGGTTAATGATGCAATCGACAAGATACTGAGATCACGACAAACAACGTGTCTGATTGTTGCGCACCGTCTGTCGACTATTGCTCGCGCGGAGAAGATTGTTGTTCTTGAGGGTGCGTTCGCATCGCCATTATATAGAATAACCTGTGCTTACATGGAATAGACGGACATGTGACAGAGATGGGGACATATCGACAATTGGTTCGTAGTGCCCTTGTTCTCCGAAGCATGTGGTCCTGTGATTGATCATCTCTCTTCTTCGGCTTCGCAGGTGAACGAGGAAGGCTCTAGATTCCGAGCCCTTATGGCCGCGCAGCTGAATGCCGCCGCTGGCGAGTCGCTGACCGCGGAGCCAAAATTGGAAGTCCTTCAGCATACTCCGGAATTCCGACACGATGCGCAAGTTCCAGCCGAGCAGTCCCAACCATAGTCAATTGAGGGCTTGTTTACATTAGACTGCTGCCACACACTAGGAACCTAGACACTATTATCGATTTCGGAACTTGTACTCTTGTACAGAAGTTAATGCTGTGCTTATCCAGACTCGCACCAGACTGCCACGATGACTCGCCGAACAAGGCTTTGGTGCGATTTGGAAGAGGCAATGCAAAACGAATCATGATGGATGGACCTACATTTGCCTACTTTGGGTGCGAAGGGATGCACGCTAGAGGCACATGTAGCACACATGATACGGTGCAGGACCCAGAGACGGTACATATCAGACCGCCCGGAGGATTCACCGTTATCACTCACGCACCACCTCTCACTCTTGTCATAATGTCTAAGGCCACAACCCTCAAGCTTAATACAGAGGGCAGGAATTCTGCCCTGCCAGCGTCAACGACTGCCGCAGAGACTTTGGAAACTCTCAAGGGGTCATTGATGGCCTTGGGTGTTCGTCATTCTTCGCGTTCTCATATCATCTAACTTGTATCGGCGAAGCAGATTGTCGTGGACTAACCGCCTACATCACAGAATACATTTGATGCACTGAGTGATCAGGCGACCCAAATGGTCTTGCTTGGTGGGGAGCTGCAGGCTGCCGGCGGAATCAGCAGGTACGTACATATCTATTCTACAAATAGTGGGACTATGGTGATTTATGGATGTGCAGCATCAAAAACGAACTACAAGCGCAGGATAGGAAACATTCAGAATCAATTGAAGAAGTCAAAGGTTAGACACTAGCCTTTGAGCGGACATATTGTGGCGTCAGCTTGAATATGGTCATTCTCTAGCCTTGATGAAATCTGTTTTGGAGAACGATGTCATAGAGCACTTAAGACAGCTTAGTAAGTATTCAATAATAGGCAGTGTCACCTTGCAAACCTTGACATGATGGAATCCAACAGTCGAAGACGGGCTACTTGAGGAAATCGATGAAATTGTGGAGGAGCATGTTGCCAAGTTGCTCCCACATTTTGTTCCACAGAATCTGCGAGACGAGATCGCCGAATATAAGCAGAAATTAGAGAAGATGGAGTGGGAACTCCATAACTCGTAAGTGTTCATTTTCAATCGTCATTAGTGAGGGATCACCTTATGGGTTGCAAAAATGAATTCAGTGAAAGTCGGAGGCTCAATGCGCAATTGCGCACTTCTCGAATGCACGAAGCCGTGCACAAGATATATAAATTGGACGGCACAGTCAGTACGTTGTTCCCCAAGGACTTTGGCAGTCTCTTTTCTATGGATGGTCAGTGCCTCCATCTGAACATTATCGTAATTACGATGCTCACCGCACCCGCAGCCGAGACGGCGAAGGCGTTGGTGGAAGAATATGAATTGCCGGGCTTGTCGAAATCAAGGGACCACAATCTGAATCATTTCATGCAGTTTTGTGGTATCGTGTATCAATTGGTGCGCAGTCCGCGCTCTCACTCGTAATCGCCACCGGTCTTGACTTCCACCATCGCAATAACTTATCCAATTTATTCGGTACCTCATGCGCCCTTTCCGCCGGTTACCATAACAGCTGCCGTCAAGTGTAGGGAAGGGGAAGACGAGCATTGAGATACCAGTCGTTATACAGAGAACTAGTACACCATCTGCTTGGTAGAGATGTGGTGGTGGCTTGCAATGGTGATACGAACGCTATTGTTACCTTTTGTATATTATATCATGAGTAAGAGAATACGCACTATTGGCCCCATATTGACATAGCGTGGCTGTGAATCTGAGCGAGCAAGTAGGCAGGTCTATATTGCTCATAGACCGAAGTATTATGTTGTAACCGTAGCGCAGACTACCTGAAAATCATTTGGACTTCGATTTACAGCTAAAGCGCTGGATGCGCGTACCTTATCTTCTCTCGCCCAATAGCTCATTTATAGCTCTAACCACTATCCCGAGTGCATCTCGGACCTTCTCTCTATCTATCTCTGTAACGCGCGACATTATCCGGCCCTCAAACTTATCTGGATGGTACCGCAGCATCGTCTCACGAAGCTTGTCTTTGCGTCGTTTGACTACATCGACATCCTCGACACTCTCCTCATCGTCGAGAAGCAAGAACGTTGAGATAGCAGCTGCTGTTATATCACCCAAAGAGATAACTCTTCTACTTTTGTTGTCGTCTGATTCGGAGGGGAGAACAGGCCATGGGATATCTGGGAAAGTCAGCTGTTCCTCGCCTGTCTTTCCGACGGCTAGCAACTCCTTCCACCGCGTGTCATACCAAAGTCTGATCTCGGCCACCTTTCTTCTCTCCTTGCTTCGTCGTCGCCGCTTTCTCTCGTCGTCTGCAGCTCTCTCCAGCCGGGATGTCTCTTTACGCACTGCCTTCTCTCGCGCGCGACGAGCTGCTCGTTCTGCCTTCTTGCGTTCCTGTTCAGCATATTCCGCGGCATGTTTCCTCCTGCGCAACGAAGTCAGGGGACTCGAAAAACGTACTCAAAGACAACTTGCGCACCTCCACATTCCCTCTCTGACCCACTCGGCATAATCCTCTTCCTCCATCATATGCGGCTTTACACCTTCCTCGTCGTCCATCTTGTCCATTCCACCGCTGCGCCATCTCCGGGGAATGTGAGCATACGAGTTAAGCCGAGACTCTACACCGTCCAGCCGCTCATCATCCTCCATTGCCTCAAAAATCTTCTCTCGAAAGCGTTCTTCTTCTAGTTGTGCATAGATCGTGTCATAGTCTTGTTTGTGTGTTCTGAAAGACGTCGATGCCGGTGGTGGTGGCGGTGGTCCATATTCATCGTCGCTAAATACGTAAGTGTAGTTCGAAGGCTTGTGTGTAGCTCGCGAGCTATTGTTGCTGCCGCCTTCAGAGATATGCTTCCACTCATCATCTGAGGAGTCGGCATGCCGTCTCTTCCTGGACGCTTTCCTAACCGCCTTCTGAGCCTTGCGAAAGTCGCGTTCTGCCTGTTCTGCAGGTGTTCTCTTGAGATGGAGCTTTCCAGTGGGCATTCTAAGATCGCATAGGTAGTAGTCCTCAATGCGAAAATATTTCGTGTGGGCCAGAGAATCAAATAGCGGCAGTGGAGTGTACTGAACGATGTAGTTGAGGTCGAACTTCGTAAGTACTTAGCAGAATTGCAGAGTTTGTCGTCTGCAAAGCTATTGTCTAAAATATTTGAAAATAATGTTCTCTAGCTAGTTTACGCCTTTCTCTTGCGGATGTCCTCGTACGCCGACCAAGACGGTCTGTTGTACCTCAAATTTGTTCTCAAGTTGTTGTATTACTCCAGTTCCTAGCCCAAGCCGCGACGTTGACTCCCTCAACCCCACTTTACGCTCCTTTACGCTCGGGTTCCTCTGGCATTCGCCGGGGCAGGAAAAGTTTATTGCACACACGTTTCATTGTCCGGTGGCGCCGATAAAGGCGTCTTCGCCCATATGCTGCTCGGAGGGCTTAGCCCGGGCCCGGTCGAGCTCACCCATCTTGAACATTGTTCCACATGGGTTCTCTAAAATCTTGAATCCTTACCACCATGATCTCTTCCAATGGCTTGATCTGCTTCACTAATTGCTTACTGCCCTTGGAGGATGGCAGTCTCGTTCAGAGAGACCTCTGGATCGATGAGCGGCGAGGTACCATCTTAGATGCACAGGTGAGTTGAGACCGTACACATCAGAAGACACTCTAACAGAGGATTGTAGCGTACATTTTTCCTCAGGAAGGAGAGGCCTGATCGAGTTATCGATCTGAAGGGAAATGTTCTGAGGTGTGTACCACGGGCTTGTTACGAAAACTGGCGAGGTTGCCGGTGCCACTGAGCTACTTGAGTCAGACGTGCGCGCAAAGTGCAGCCTTTCCTGCTATAGGATCTGACCTCGTAATGGCTGCATGGCTGACGCACAATTGAACTCCGTAGCCCGGGGTTCATGGATATTCAGATCAACGGAGCTTATGGGTTCGACTTCTCTGTTTATGATGGAGACGATGAAGCGTACAGGCAAGGCTTGAAGACGATCGCGGAGAGGATTGTGGAGACCGGTGTCACCTCGTGCGTACGCCCTTCTTTTTGACCATAATTTACTGACCGCAGAGCAGCCTCGTCCCAACCATCATTGTATGCATTAGTCACTTAGTTTGGAATGGAAAGAACTAATCAACTCCTTGATTCCCTTAGACCCAAGAGAAGTCTCTCTATCCCAAGCTTTTGCACCTGCTTCGCCCACTGTCCCTTGCGAATTCGGCAGCCCTTCTCGGATGGCATGCGGAGGGACCGTTCATCCAACTTGCCAAGCGCGGCGCTCATGCACCCCAGTTTCTTGTTCCTGCCCACGAACGCTTCGCATCTTTTGAGGCCGTATATGGTACAGATAATCTGGCTGATCAGGAGGACTGGCTCATGGCGGAGGGAAGTGACGTCGACAGCGTTGGCGTGCGGATTATCACTGCCGCTCCAGAGATCGATGGTGTCATGCCCGCCGTAGACGAGCTTGTCAAGCGTGGTGTCGTGTTCTCGATCGGGCACAGGTGCGCGAGACGCCTGTATCTTTCAGATGCTATGATACACATGGCTGAGTACCCGGGTCTAGCATCGCAACGACCGACATCGCCACGCACGCCGTTCAACAGGGCGCGCGTCTCATTACGCATCTCTTCAATGCCATGCCCCAATTGCACCACCGCGACCCGTCCATCATCGGCCTCCTCGGCGCGTCACCCCATCTCTCTGTTCCATTCGCTCTTCCACCCAGTGGCTCGAGCTCTGTGTCGCACTTGCGCGGAGGATCGCTTAGCCGGCGCCTTGGTACGAAGTCCGCGCAGGCTCTGCTCGAGAGCCCGAAGCCCACCTCGGAAGCATTCGATGATCTAGAGACACCACCTCAGACACCGCTCTTGCGCGCCACAACCTCTGACCTATCCCTCGTGAAGGGCAAAGCAGCAGATATGGCCTTCGAGCGGCCATTCTACGAGCTCATCGTCGATGGAATACATTCCCATCCAAATTCAGTCCGGGTAGGTCATGTGTGTGGCATGAGGACAATTGCACTGACGCCATTGTTCGGCCAGCTTGCGTACTCGGCCTATCCAGAGGGATGCATCCTCATTACAGATGGTGAGTGTGGGAGTCTCTCGTCCGGATGTGTTTGAGCATATCTGGGGAGGCTTCCTCTCGACCTGGCGTTCTGTACCCTGCCAATCAGAGATTCTGGCATAAGCAGATCTCGGGCATATCATTGGCTGATTCGGAACACCTGGTAGAGTGGAAGCTGAGTACTTCAGTCGCGAGCGCATCAGGCTGCGATGCTTCATCCTATCTGATAACGAGTCAGCGGACTGACTGGTCATGCAGCGATGAAGATTCTCGACCCTCACCTCAAGGACGGCGTGCATGAATGGCGTGACGGCAAGCGGTTCGTGAAAGAGGGCGACAAGCTCTACCTAGAAGGCACGGACACGCTCGCGGGAAGGTATGCCTTCATATCCGTCCGAGGAGTTAATTTACCAACCTCTGCTATTGCGCCAGTGTGGTCACGCTGGACAAGTGTGTCCGCAACTTCTCGCGCTTCACGGGTTGCTCGCTTGGCGAGGCAATTAAATGTGCCACGTTCAACCCAGCGAAGTGAGTTTACTCCCCCTCTCGTGAGCCTGGGCTGTGAGCTAAGTGATCGTCCAGGTGTCTTGGAATTGAAAATAAGAAAGGAACCTTGCGTCCTGGTGCAGATGCCGATCTCGTCGTGCTCGATCGCCAGGGCAATGTCCTCAGCACCTGGGTCAAAGGCCAAGAAGTTTGGAAGAAGGACTAGATAGGCTTAAATGCATGTATATTCTGTGCAGCTTGGTCAGACCAAGTCAGGTGCCGTGATGCGTGGTATGAAGGCGTGTAGCATTCCTTGGAATCCTTGGTTACCATTGGAAGGGGTGGTCATTCATCCGTTTCCGCGTTACGTATGGGGTGACTGTGCCTGTATCTACCAGAAACGCGTGTAATGGAATGCACATTGCTATTTCGCTGAGATTCGGTAATATGCCGTCTCACTCAGCTCTCTGCATTACTCCAAGACTTGCAGGAGCCCGTAGCCGACTTGTTCTAGGAATTGTGTTTTGATACAATGACATCTCCATACTTCAGAACAACATCGAAACTATTTTCAGTCGTACCACGAACATAACATCTACATACTTGAAAAATGAAATCCAAACACGGAGAGCACACCCTTCGGGGAAGACAGCCACAGCCCGGGTCCGTGTTTCCGTTGTCTGACACACGACACGGCGTGGGAATGCATGACTAGGAGCCGGTCATCCGCCATATTATCCTCCTCTCCGCACCAACTGAGATACTTTACCTCCCGTCCTATAATCCCCTCCTGGCTCTCCTATAATCATGGGCGCGGACTCTTTGTCGACGACGCCGTCCGCGTCGCCTTTCACGGACCCTCCAAATTATGGATTCCCTCACCACCGGCTGCACCGTACCCTCCGCAACCCCGACAAGCAGCCCGTCGTCCTCGTCGCGTGCGGGTCTTTCAGCCCAGTCACGTACCTCCATCTTCGGATGTTCGAGATGGCGGTAGATTACATCCGCCAGAACACCGACTTCGAAATAGTCGGCGGGTACCTCAGTCCTGTCAGTGACCAGTACAGGAAGCCCGGTCTGCTCAGTGCATATCACCGGTGGGTACGCCCGTCATGCCGTCCTATGCATGTCTTGTAACGCCGCTCTGCTCTCCAGTGTGCGCATGTGCAATCTCGCCGCAGAGCAGACGTCTTCATGGCTTATGGTCGATCCCTGGGAGGCGTTTCAGTCATATCAGCGCACAGCCGTCGTGCTCGACCACTTCGATTACGAAATTAACACCCGCCTCGGGGGCATCCTTACACCATCTGGCGAGCGAAGACACGCACGCATCATGTTGCTTGCGGGTTCGGATCTCATTGCGACGATGAGTGAGCCCGGTGTGTGGTCTGAGCCGGATCTCGACCACATTCTCGGCAGGTATGGCGTGCTTATCATCGAGCGCGCGGGCTCGGACATGGATCAGGCGACCGACAACCTCTCTCGTTGGCGACATAACATCCACCTCGTCCACCAGCTCATCCAGAACGATGTCTCGTCAACCAAGGTCCGCCTTTTCCTCCGCCGTGGTCTCTCTGTTCGTTACCTCCTCCCGGCGCCTGTTGTCGACTACATCGAGCAACATGGGCTGTACGTGGATGATGGCCCTACAGCCAGTGCCGCGAGCGGGGCTATCATTGCCGAGAAGGAGAAGGAACGTGAGAAGGAAGCCAGTAGTGGAAGTGGAAAGGAGAGGGCAGAGAAGTTCACACCTCCATGAGGAGCGGCCAGCTGCAGATAGAAAAATCAAGGACGCAATGGGCGAGCGAATGCAAGTATCAAGAAGAGTGTACGTTCATCACGGAGAGCATTATAGATTCATGTATCTTGGGTTTGCTTTGAATTGTCTGCTTGTAATAGTACATGTGGACCAGGTGGATTGTCGCACATACGTGGTAATAGTTCTTGTTAAGTTGCATTGTACTTGATGCTGATGAGACCAAAGTTGTTATGCTAAAGACTCACATATGGATACATTTTTCAGTGTACTATCAACGCGGATCTCCACAATCGCGGACTCCGATAATTGTGTGTTGACCTCCCATCAATCGAGTGCTTCCCTGTCGATCTGCAGAAGCTTCGACTAGAATGTGACACGTAACGATTGCAGTTCTGCTAGCCGGCGAATCGCCGAGTCAGGGCGTAGCGAGACTTGGTATCCAATATCCAAGTAAGCTTCCCACAAGATCAGCTTGGATCGAGCTGAAAAGATTGCCTGACGATTCGTCACCTGAACACTGAGTAACTATCCGTCGAGGTAGACAGGTATAGCATCTTAGATTTGCAGGATCATGCGCCCACAGCATTGTCTATAGAACAAGTGATTGCTTGCGATGAGGTGTCTGATCGACTCAAACTGAACATATTCAATGTACTACGGTCTTGTGTTTCGAGCAGAATTGACACGAGTATAGATCAGAGTCTCGAACATACAGCATGAGGACCTATATCTGAGCTATGTCGAGATGGACCTCTGTACTCCACTGCCACTAATTAAAACTGTCGGCTACTTTGGCAGGGAGTATTACCAGCTTCTCGACATCCCACTAGAGGTAGTATGGCTGCGTTTAACGCGGGTTTGCAGGCCGCAAAAAATATTGAAACGTACCACTTCGCCAGAATGATAGAATACGTCTTTCTTGAGGGTCTCCAGGACGGCCTCCAGGCTCTCGCCTGCGCAGATCAAGAAGGAGCCGATCATGATCTCCTCAGCGCCTGGCATGGATACAGACTCAGGAGTGAGGACTCCTCCTCCGTACACTACGAATATATCGATGAAAAAAATCAGCACAATGCTACGGTGGACCATCTTAGAAGCCTACCGATGAAACCGCTCTTGATGAGAGGGAGTGCCGTCTTGAAATGCTCAGGCAAATGTGCAACACGACGCTTGGGAGTCTCGGGACCTGGTAAATCCGGCGCGTAAACGAAGAACTTGTGCAGGGCAGGCTTGTTAGCGGTCTCCGAGCTCATGGCGAGATGTTTCGTCAATCTTCAGGCGGGGGTTTTGTGCCGCCCCATCCCACACCAAAGGGTATTTATACGTCGACCAGGCGGTATGAGCCCGAATTGCGCCCTACGCGACGGTGGTAAGTCTGCAATTGTATATCGCCTCTGAGACTGACCTACGGCGTGTTGGTGGATGAGGCGAATGAGTAAGGCCGACCGAGGCCGACCGATCGAGTTTTAGCGGTAGTCATAGAGGGGTATTCACCGTGTAGATCGGGATTTACAAGAAGTAATAAAATTATGAAAAAGAGCTGGACAGGGATGAGCCCATCGTGGCCGTTGGCAAATGAGCTCCCAGTCACTGTATCTGGTTCTAAACAGGGGAAGTGCACCAATAAGATGATACGCTCTAGCGCATCCACCCTTCACAAATGCAATATTGGGGTCACTCCGCTATAAGTTTGTTTGTTTGTAAATCTCGTTTCTAGTCCTCGAGGGCATGACCCTATGTAGACTATAGCCCTCTGTAGTCTAGCTAATGTAATGAGTAGGCTAGCGTTAATCAAGAGGGAGACATTAGCCGCTATAAGTTTGAGCCGACTACTTCGCAGTCATCCACTGTAAATGCGTGCCCCACTGGACAAGGGTGGCGCGAAAATGTAATACTCGAATTACTGCATGAGGGCATAAGTTGCACAGCTCGAGATTTCTTGGGAATCCTGACGCGACTAGTATGCGATCTGCAGGACGTCTTGGATAAGCCCCGTCTGATCCATATGAGAAATCAAAGACCTCAGTGCACATTCGTATCCGTTGTCGAGCTGCAAGCAGGATATACATGGCATTTACATGAATTTATTTTATGGCACGCATGCTGCAAGTACGAACCGGTGTGCTACCTATCACAGTATTAACTACCGCTGCCGCCAGTGCAATTGAACTTCAAATTCTCTCGACTCCAACCGGAGGTCGATTGCCTGACAGTTCGGAACGACTGCGTGGAATTGGAGTACATATGTTGAACGCATATACAAAGAAGAAGAAAAATAGTGTGGCATCATGAACGGGGCCTGAGGAGTAGCAAAGATCGCGTAGTTCAAATTGTGCGCGGTCGAGCGGCAGCCGGCTCGAGCCGGCGCCATGCCGCCATCTTCGAATGGCTAGGAATGGAAAGTGGCGGGATTGTGGCCTTTCAAGCTCACTGACGGCTTGCAATTGATCCACGCTCAGCTTCAAGCGAGCTCAGTCACGAAGTGTTTGCTACTATTCAGCCTGGGTCAAGACTTCAATCCTCCATTAATAAGCTCTCCGATTTTCTATAGGCTCCGCGTGGCTGATATCCTTACGGTTCAAATTCAAAGGAGTCACTCGTCTGTCTCTTTTACGCTGGCCCCTCAGCTGGATGGAGAGATAAATGGAGTAGAGGACGACCGAAATAATATACTGGCATCGAGTTTAATCGATCTATCGTATGTGCATGAGTCAAAGCTAGGCACTCCGTCAATAAAAACTGGACAGGGGCCGTTAGTCACTGCTCGTATGAACTTTAAGCCGGTATGTACCTAGTCCTGTTCCTTTGCCCAATACTCACAACTTATTTTGCAGGACACAATGTCAACCGCTCAGCCTTGGCCGCAGTTCTTGTTGGACTCCTTTCACTCCGCCCTTCGTGACAGCACCACTGACGACAGTGTTTTCTATGGACCTTGCAGGCGTCTGCTCTACCATCTTCCTTGATGGACCATTTGAGGTCATTCCGCAATTCCATGCTTCTTGGGACAGCGTCGAAGCCTTCGCCATTTTCAAATTAAAGACGCACCCAGTCCTGTTCATTGGGGTTAAGTCACCCTCGTCATTCCGTCTGAACTCCCAGCGTAAAGAAGCTGATAGACGGATACGAGGGCATTTCCGCGACCTCCACCCCGACGTCATCATCCCAACTGTCCCCGCCATCAGCGCTTTCGGGACTCTTCTCTCATTCTACCGCTACGACAAGACATCCAACTCTCTCACTCCTGCAATCGAAGCTGATCTCCCCATTATGACCGATACTGCGCCCAAAGATCGCTGGGATTGCGATATCTTAGATGCTACTGGCACAACTCGTTTTCGCGAGATGGCCAATGAGGTCAAAACCATGTGCACACAGCTCTTGGGTGGTGCGGCGAATATTCTTGGCGATCTGTGCATTGTTCTCGCTGATCTCGACCTACGCAGCCTGAAAAGACCAGAAAAATAGGGCAATAATATTTTTGCGCAAGAATCATGTCAGACGTGCAATAGCAGGGCATGTACAAATGCCATTGGGTAAGGGCAGTAGCCTCGCTTTCAGTCTTAAACATGCAGGCTGCGCAGGCATCGGCGGAGGCCAACAACTATGCATTATGTACTTTTCGTAGCTATTAACAACGCGGACTATACGAACCTACAGCGAAACGAACGGCGGGGTATTGTTTTGTGATCTATAGCAATCGGGTAACAAATACGAAAAGAGGGGGGAGATGATGGGTAGAGTATCATACGATGCGAGAGCGGCCATAGCTTACGAGACATACGGCATAAAAACTGTCGACAGTCGGCACTCGCGCGCTGCGCCTGGCCGGCCATGTCCTAGGAGCAACGGCCACGCGCGTCGCGCATATGAGACTTCATGACGAGGAGAACCAAAACCAAGCAAATACGAAGACGAACCAATAAAAAGACCTACAATATACCACATCCGCATCCACCACCACGTCTCCGTCCCACAAAAAAGATAAGGCATAATGGAAAGTAATGCATCAACACACCTCGACCTCCCACTCCCCACCTTCACGCCCTTTGCTAGGCACACTCCTCAGCGCGATGCGCACCCGCCTCCGGCCGCTCGCTGCGGGCGATCCTGCACGCGAGAGCGAGTCCCAATCGAAATCGAAGCCACCAGAACTCGCTTGCGATAGCAGGTCGTCTTCCCGATCGAGTGCCATATGGCCGAGATCTGGACCTGACCCGAGGAACGGGCCGAGCAAGTCGGCAGCAGACTCAAAAGGTAAGGCGAGCGACGGCGAGCTCGTGGCTGTACTTGTCGCTGCGGTGCTTACAACCGTGGGTGGCTCACTCCAAACGGACATAGGATGATCTTCGTCCGTATGCGACTGGGATGCCGGGGGGCTGCTTGCTGCGCTTGTTGGTTGTGATGGCGACGAGGGAGGGTGTATTCGCACACGAATTTTGCCGTTCTCCGCAGGGGACGCGTCAAAGCTGATATCCAGTGCACCGAGATCGCCCAGACTGAGGGTGTCCTCGCCTGCGCCCTCCGAGCCAACAAACTCAAGCCGCTTGCTCGCTATCGCTGCCGCAGAAGCGAGGCGCGCGCGGTCGTCCAAATTGGAGTCGAAGTCAAAGTCAAAGTCAAGGCCGGAGTTGACAGGGTCGAGTGACCAGTCAAAGTCGGAAGAGGGCAGGAATGAGCCAGGCATGTCGAGGGCGGTGGAAAGAGACGAGCTGTGACCGTGCGAGGGCGGGAGTGAGAAAGTGCTCGGAAGATTGGAATGCGAGTGCGAAGGCATAGAGAGCAACGTCGGTAGAGCACACAAAAGAACCTGAACGGCCGACATTTTGAATACAATCATAAACAATCAAACGTGTATATACTCACCATCAAACCGAAGCTCGCACTCGATTTTTCTACCTTTGGCGAGCGAAGGAATGACGGTTCGACCGCCTCCGACTTCACTGAAGAAGTGGAGGACGGTGCCGGCGACGGCGACCGCTCAGAGGCTTTCCGCGATAGCTCTTCAGCGAGCGCTCTCTCTCGCTCTTGTATCTCCGCAAGCTGCTTGCGCAACCGTTCGACTTCAGACTGCATCTCGTCATCTTGCGGGGACGTCGGAGTGGCAGATTGAGTAAGGGCAAGCAGCCTCGCGTTTTCCTGCTCCAGTTCCGCAACACGGCTGCATTGAACAAAATATATTAGCCTCTGAAGATAGTGTAACGTTGCACCTGGGTAACGAGAATTTCAAGATCATGCTTTGCTCGGCGGTCAAGATCCACCAATAGCAATAGGCTCTCAGCGTACCAACCAGAGAAATAATACTCCCAAACAAGGCAAAATTCTTCTCCTAAGAGAAAGAAAACAGAAGCAATAGGACCAGAACCAGCACAATACAAATAGACATCGAAGCCATGATATTCAGCTGCAAGCCGCTCTCTTACGCTTCCTAGCGCAAGACGGAATTCGAAAGACACTATGCCCAACGTTCCCGTTGTCACATTCGTCACGATGGCAACGCAAAGTAGGCACGTGTGACATGTAACATTGAACGCAATACGCATAGATGTCGAAGAAAACAGACAACAAACACGGGATTAAGTAGGGCCAGCGTTGTCAGCGTCGGGAACCAGACAACCAGGACTTCCATGCATGACTGCGAGCCGGCGTAGTTCATGTCTACTCCGGCGTCGTGATAATGAACTCTTCATTCACAAACGTGAACGCGGTAGCAACAGAAAAACTGATATCCAGGACCAATAGGAAAAAACTCACACTTCCATGTTCTCAAACTCCTCGCGTTTGCGCTGCCTACTCAAAAACGCTGCGGCGCGATTCTTAACGAGACGCGCCTCACGTTTGCTGAGTCCCGAGACGTCCGGCGGTATAAAATCCTTCGTGGAGGTGTTCGCGCGGGGTTTTTTGGACGTGCTTGAGGGGGCCGTTGATGGCCGTTTGGCAGGGACTGCGCTGGGGTTGATGGAGATGCTCAGGCGCTCCCTAGCCTGCTCCGGGGCTGGCGACGGGGACGGGGAGGGCGCGGCAGACTCGGTGAGGCCATCGGGCGGGATGTCGAATAGCTGATGTGTGGGAAGACACAACGTCTGCTCTGGCTCGGAGCTGGGGGTGCCCATACGGCTGCTTTTGAGGGCGGCCGCGGGGGGGCTGGGAACGGCCTGCGGAGTTGCGGTTGGCAACGCGTATGCATGAGGGTATAGACCGACCGCAAAGTGAGGCTGCGGTTGGTAGAGCAGGCCGGTGGGCTGGAGGTGAGCATCCCACGGGATGGTGTGCGAGTCGGAGAGCGGAGACGACAGGGGCGCGTCGGTGGCGATGAGATGAGACATGGCGAGAGTTGTTCCGTGTCGGGACATGGCGAGGAGCGTTTTGAGGCCTGGGATGGGACGGGGAGGGGTGGTGGTGGTGGTGGTGGTTGGGAGGGAGGTGGTGGTCGAGGAAGAAGGGGCCGACGACGGGGACGACGACGGGGAAGAAGGGGGGAAAATTGTTCGGGAATTGCAGGGAAGCGGACTTATATCGCTTGTTGTAGCCATTCATAGCCGCATGTAAGTAGCCGACCAAATCAAGATATTCCTGCGAAAGGGCGCGTTTCCCAACCGTGCTTTCTGCCCATCTATCACTTTATACCCTCCCAGAAATTCTCATGCCTGCCCTCCCTCCTCCGCATTTTAGACGTACACCAGTCCGCTTAACGACCGAACTTCTTCTTTTCGGTGCGGCCGTCCTCTCTCTGCGTCTTAAGCGTCCCCGCATGACCTCCGTCACATCCACTACTCCGGCCCCGTGGCGGACCCTCGAAACAAAACGAGGAATAGGCGCGGCATGCCTCAACGAGAGCCAAACCCCTTACGCCCCAGCGCTCATCACCCTCGACGTCTAACCTTGGATTCAGAACAATGATGCTCTCCTCTGCGTCCATTGCGCCATGTCGGAGCCATCTAGCACCCCATCTTCATCGCAGGGACATCACCAACACCTCGCAGATGTCCGCCTCCACCTGATGAACGAGCCCGCTGCACTCAGTTGCGGGCCGTCGGTCGGCGCGGGATGTATAGCATCCTATTTTCTTTTCCTGGAACGTCGGAAGTTCTGGGCCCAACCCGCGGTGACGCACCCAGATGACGAAGGTCCCTGAAACCGTGATAACAATCAACCCGCTCTTCCTTGGCCTCTAGGTCATATATCTTGACTGAACATTGTCTCATTTATTAGAAACATTATGAGGCACCACTTTGCACGGTCTTTGCTAATATCTCCACCTCTTCCTCACGGGTCTTGCTATCTTTCCTGCTAAAGATTGGGTAGGCGGCTCAATGACTTGACCATTTCTCACGAGCTCAAGGTACAATCATGCAATGTTGCAATGCTGCCTACCCAGGTAGGTACTTTACCAGTATTCCAAAGACACTCGCCTCGATCCTCACTGCTTACCCTCGTCCCGCAGTCGCTAACAAGTATGTCCTTCGAAATTCGTGTATCCTTAATCCTCTCGCTGCTCATGTCCGACATCATATAGACGCGCGGTAATTGCGTGCCGGGCGCCGGGATGCCTAGTAGTGAGATATCTCCTTGTCCGGAGGACGGAGGCGTCCCGTATCCTGCCTCATCGCTGTGGCCAAATTTCGGACAGCTTACAATAAGATTGCCTCTCCAGATATAAACGATCGCCTCTCTTTGTCTTCTCCGCTTCTTGCGCTAAGTACCCCATGCCGCGTGTCCGTATTCCGAACGAGATCTATCTTCGGGCCCCCCTTCCGTGCTCGCACTCAAAATCAAAGACCACATCTCATCTCGTATCCTGCTGGTCAGGTCATAAATTGACTTTGGTTCATTAGGCCATCAGTAGACCGCATATATCCAGGTTTACTGTGAGCTAGTGGCCGTACAACGTACGAGAACCCTATTGCGGCCGCTCCCGTGCACCAGTGTCCCAATCTTCTGATCGTTCACTTGACCAGGTGGTGAATGCACTTCCTTAGTCCGCGTCCGGGCTCGGACGCGGAGTAGCCGTCTGGTGTGAGAGGAATCCTCCGCGCCCTCGGAGGAATTTCACTCAGCGGCACTTCGGGACGAATACCAGAGGACACTGGCATATCGCTCATCGCGCTGTACGTACATCTGCTCCACGAAGCCAAGCACTCACGTCACGAAACCGTTCATCACCCCGTCCTAATCTGTGCATTTCTCTCTCGCTAGTAGTAGTTGCTCCCCTTAGTCGGCTTGTGGCTAGACAGACTTGCCTTCTCCGTCCCGCAGAGCTGTTAGACTGACAGTGTTCGCTCGATCGCGACGTGCTCGATCTCGTCCCGGCAGCGGTTACCACACACACCGGTCCTGCCGTAACACCCCGCATGCTCCGTAATTGCGTCCGACAGTCTGTACGTTGCCTCCTACATGGATGCACCGCTCTAAGTCCTGCTACCTCCCTCTGGCGCGCCGGCACTGGCGCTCGACAATGCTCTTCCGCGCGCCCAGTGCTCTATCTCCTCATGCTGGCGCCGTTGCTGTGGCCGCTCCCACCGAGCGCGGTTGCGAGCCTCGTGCATCGTACGCCCCGCGCAGCGTATCCCACTCCACCCGTTTATTCCCTACTTTCACCGAGGATGGCCGACTCAGCAACTGCAGCGCGGATGTAGGCGTTCCGACGGTCCGCAGGCGACACAGCGGTCTACCTGAAGACTTCGGACCTGACGTTCGGAAGACTAGGGTCTCCTGATCTCCAGAGCTCGCCGGCGCGTGCTTCCCATTGTATTTTGGATTCGGTGTGCAGATCATTGTATAAGTGCATAATCTGAATACAATTCGAATTCTCACCATCCTCGTAGGTTCGAAGATGAGCATCGCCGGCCTGCTTGCTCATAAGCGAGAGAAGCTATGGTTGAATTGCATGGTCTGCACATGATTACGCCATCGTAGTCTAATCCATGTCTGTATGCGATTGACGCGTGGTGCACAGGGTCGCGTTGGGCTCGATGTTTGTTTATGCAAGTGGACGTCATTTGTTGGTAAGTATGCCTCGTGTATGGTGTGCGTCGAAGGGTGGACCAGCAAACCCATCCGCCTTCATTTTGTGGCTGACCCAGAGTCGAATACGCCCCAAGCCTGACGAAAAAAAGGTTGAAGTGAGTGGCTGTTGCAACCAATGACGATCAAGACTCCGAATGTACAGGATCAGATGAACAAGGTGGAAGAATGGAGGCCACGCAAGATCGCGTACGCTTGATGCCGCGGTGAAGATTCATTCCTACCTGAGTGAAATTGTGAAAAGCGCTGCATGCCAGAGATACCATGATTGGCCTAGAAATAACCTTGAAGATAAGACTCGAACTTGACACCAGACTCTCGACGGAGAGCGTATCTTAGGTCGTGCGTCAGCTCCTTTCGTGACAAGACGAAATCCATTGCATCGTGGGGCCAAGGCAATTAATGAGGGGTGATGATGGTGCAAGCACGACCAATACGCATAGCAGTGCAATATACGCACGTAGAGACATTATACAACATTATATTTTACACATCCACTGTCTCGAGATCATCCAGAAAGACATCTAGATCTTGAGTTCCCAGCTGACACCGCAGCCGCAACCGCTACCTTTGGCCTGCAGGAAAACACATGTTAGGATTCGATCCATCGGAAAATAACCCGATCAAAAATATAAAGAAAAGAGGGGGGGATCGCGCATACGAGCGCGATCAGACGAGAAAACACGAGCATTGGGCACGCACCTGCGGGTTGTCTGATACGCGAAAGCTGCTACCGATGAGTTCCGTCGCAAAATCAATCGTTGACCCCTTTAACAGAGACATTGAAATGGCATCGACTACGACATTCGATGGCTTTATCGTGGGGTGCACGAAGCGGCTGAGAACATTTAATCACATAATTATTAATATGATTTGGTCCCAGGCACGCAGAAGTAAAACGCACTAGTCGTCGGTCCGCCGACTCTCCGCTAATTCGAGTTTGTACTGGTATCCGTGACACCCTCCGCTCTCAACGGCTACCCTAAGAGCAGCATCCTGATTGTGCTCACGAGCTGCCATTGAACGTAGTTGCTATAACCAGATTACGAATTCGACGCGTCAGGCTCAGCGTGGTGTCGACTATCACTGCAACAATAAGCTTACTTCCGCCGCTCTGTCAGTAATTCTGAGCGTCGCCTCCTCTGGAGGGATATAGTCGACATCTGGCTCATCTGCGTCCTCCTCCGTCTGGTCAAGTGCTTCCGATGATGGATATTCCACTAACAGACTGGTCTCATAATGAGGCTCCTCGGCAAGGGCGGCGAGTCGAGGAACTGGCGACGAAGTAAAGGTCCGTGTAGCCCGGGCCCGCAGTAGATGTGATGTCCGTAAAGCAGACAGTCCAGGCAGAGAGAAAGGACATGATGGCGTCGCGCGGAGATATATAGAGTACACTACCGTTTTTGAGTGCGTTGTATGGATTCTACGAGAGAGCAGGCGGTGGATATGACAGATTGAGGTGGGCGAGGACATGAGAGTAGCGACACTACTGATGATTCACTGCAGTGTCTCGGCCGAGATAAGTTAGGGCGTTTACGGACGCGCGGCCCCGTGCACAATTCGGTTCGGTTCGAGCTTGAATACAAGCCTGCCGGTCGGTGGCACCTGGTCTCGTGCCCAGACGTGTCGAAGATGAGGGCTGCGCGTTGG